TTAAACTAGCAATTCCGTATTATATTTATAAATCTTCATAACATTATACAAAAATTAGATTTTTCATAAAAATTGAAATTTTGCCGGGAATGGGGCTTTAATTTGGGTACTTTAATGAATGAATGAATGAAATATAATGAAAATTTACGATTTTTATAAAAAATGATGTTCTTACATAACATTAAACTGTCATTTTTGAACCACCGGTCACCAGTGGCGTCGAGAGGGGGGGTCGCTGTCCCGGGGCCCGGGTCTACTGGGGGGTCCCGGACCAAGATGAACAATTTTCGGGGTAAGAACAAAATCTCCATAGGGCCCGAGCCCAAGCCAAGATGAAAACTTTTGTTGTCAGATTTTGGAGGAGACTTAATTTGGGGAGCGGCCGAGTGGGGGTCCCAAGTGAAGGGGGAGGGGGCACATGAGGTGTTGCCCCGGGGCCCTTACTGGCTCTCGACGCCACTGCCGGACACCACCTCATTGGTAAAATTAATGATGAAATAACGAATATAATTTCAGTCTATTAATGTTAATGCAACAATTCATAAGGCCTTTTGATGTCCCGAGATGTGCGTCCTTTTGTTGAATTATGGTTATGGTTTTATATTTATATAGCGCCTTCCACGATCGAAACCGTCTCAAGGCGCTTGAATTGCCTTGCTTGCACCGATATAAGTTCTTTGCCGGCAGTTTAGCAGACGGCGTCGCGTCGTCAAGCGCTCACAGGGAGCAGGGTGTGATTCGCCGGCCGATGGGAGTACGATCGTCGTACGACGCAGTGAGTGCCCGGCTTAAGCTTGGTTTCCATACAATCGCTCAACGCTATCGCCGACAGATTTCAGTGATGCTGATTGATCGTCCATAGAGGAATAATTCATCCATGATCGGTCGAATCGGAGAGCTTTAGCGATTGCGTAGGGGACTGCTACAACAACTGCACTGAAAACACCGTATGGACAGTGTAGTGATTGTATGGAAACCAGTTCGACCGACCAATCAGCATCACCGAAAACTGTCGGCGATCGTGTAGCGATTGTATGAAAACAAGATTAACGCATTTACTAATCGGATTATTGATTACTCATTTCCTATTTCCTATTATAGACTACTCGTGAAAACACCATTTAGCCTACATTAAGGTTATTTATTAGGATGATGCATGGCCGGTAGAACCGGGGGGGGGGCCGCCCCCCCCCCCCCCAATTTGTTTGCAAAAAATAATGTCTGGAGATTTTGTGTGGCTGGAAAAAAAAAATTCTAGACCTAACTTTTCAGGACCAGTGAGCTGATTTTTTTTTTTTTTTAATTACAATCAAGAACAAGAACTTAAAAGTCTTTAAAACACACTTAAAATGCCGGGAAAGCTCATTCCCGCCATCTACGAATTAAAATTTTCCCGGGGGAGAACCCCCGGATCACCCTTTCTTTTTGGGATTTATCGATTCAATACTCATTTATTTATGTATGTATACACACATAAAATAAAAAATAAGAAAAATTTACCTGACCATTTTCAAGAGGGGAAAGCCTTGAATTTTGAAAAAGTCATTTAAAAGACATTTCAGAAGTCAGGGAAGGTCATTTTCCGCATTCTAGAAATCGCAATTTTGCCGGGGGGAACCCGGACCCCCTTTCTCTTTGGGGTTCATTAGTTCATTGAATCATTTTCAAGAGGGGGAAAAACCTTGATTTTTGAATAAATTAGAAGTAATTAAAAGACACCTCAGAAGTCGGGAAAGCTCATTTCCCGCTTCTAGGAATCAAAATTTTCCCAGGGGAGACCGTTTTCCAGAGAGGAAACCTTGAACTTTGAAGAACTTAAATTAAAATCACTATAAGATACTTCAGAAGTCGGGAAAGCTCATTTCCCGCCATTTAGAAATTAACATTTTCCCGGGAAGAACCCGAACCTCCCTTTTCTCTTTGGGTTCATTGATTCATTATAATTTTCAAGAGGGGAAAACCTTGAATTTTGAAGAACTTAAAAGTAATTAAAAGACACCTCAGAAAGTCGGGAAAACTCATTTCCCGCCTTCTAGGAATCAAAATATTCACAGGGTAGAACCCCCGGACCCCCCACCCCTTTCTTTTTGGGATTTATGGATTCATGGGAAAAAAATCGTATGCAACTACTCAATTTTTGTATGTATATATACACACATAAGGCCTATCTACTGTAATAACAGGGATAAATTTACCTGACTGTTTTCAAGAGGGGAAAACCTTGAATTTTAAAGCTCAAACCTTGAATTTGAAAACTCATTTCCCGCCTTCTAGGAATCAAAATATTCACAGGGGGAACCCCCGGGCCCCCCTTATTTTTGGGATTTATGGATTCATGGAAAAAAATATTGTATGCAACTACTCAATTTTTTTTATGTATATATACACACATAAGGTCTATCTACTGTAATAACAAGGATAAATTTACTTGACTGTTTTCAAGAGGGGAAAACCTTGAATTTTGAAGAGCTTAAAAGTAATTAAAATTCACCTCAGAAGTCGGGAAAACTCATTTCCCACCTTCTAAGAATCAACATTTTCCCGGGGGAGAACCTCCGGACCCCCCTTTATTTTTGGTATTTATGGATTCATGGAAAAAATTCTATGCAACTACTCATTTTTTTTTAAAGCATAGAGTATCTGTGGTCTATGCTTTAACACAGGCCTATTCTACAAACAAGGGCAGTTAATACATATAGCAAAATCTGACTTAACATATATATATATAGATAGATTAAAAGGCAAAATACTGAAAAAAAAAACAATGCTGTGGGAAACAATGGCTGGATCTCAGTAGAGATACAAAAATGATAAGCAACAGCTAAAAAGTAAACGTAAGTAAACAGCCATATATATATATATATATATATACATATATATATACATATATATATACATATATATTACTTGTTTTGTTAGCCGTCCTCTGTCATGAAGGCATCAGGCCGTCATTGACATATACAGTTGACATATACACTGCTTTTTTGACAGAGAGACACATATTCTGTGCTATAATGTTTTGTAAATGTATCATTGCATAGTTGGTATAATGCATACTTACATATTTTATTATTATTATTATTATTTTTATTATTATTATTTTATTATTATTATTATTATTATTATTTTTAATTGTTTGACTTGTTTAATTATATAGGCCTAATTAACCTGTAACCCAAGGCGGGACCATTGCAGGTACTCTCCTTTCCTTATCGGGATTATGTTGTGCCTACTGCACAGCTCATGGGCTGTGTATATATATTACCTTGGTTTGGCTCTGTAATCATTAGTGGTCGTGGGACTAGTTTGGGCCCTACCTAAGCTGGTCAACGTTTCGTTTGGGTCTATACCCTAGCTGCACTGATGAGGCCTGATCTCATAATTCACCAGCTTAAGTCGTACGGGCCTTGTCTAAACGGTATGACGCTCACCGAGATTGCGAGTTCGATTCCCACCAGACCCTTTTTTCATACTACTATAGTATGGGATCCTTCGTTAATTAACTATGTTTGACACGATTTTATAACATCATCTTCCTATATATTAAGCTCTTTATTATTATCATCTCTTTGAGACAATAATTGATTACATAACAATTGATTACATAGTTATTCTGTAAATCACGTATTGCAATCCTCATCTGGGAAATAAACGAAATGTCCATAAGTTTATAAATAATAAAGAGTACTTTGACCCATAATCTTTCAAAGGTAACTATCTTACACTCAACAGCATTCATTCCATAATATAGGCTAAACGTTGTTTGAATAATTACCCACACCAGCCCAATTTTTGGCAATGCATCAACAAATTCAATATCGGTAATCATTATCGTGAATTTTGGGCTTTTCAAATAACTTTGTTATAAGTTTGTTTACACGATTGAATGTAATCTTGATTTCAGTGACTACTAGTATATCATTATCTATTTAATTTACCTGCGATTTCGTTCTCATTTATACATGAACAACGCTTTGTTTTCTTCAAATTGATAACTAATGTTTGTGCGTCCACGAACAAGTTCATCGGTCAAGACGTACCCGATCTGAAGATTGTTCTGTGCGAATGAAAGTTATGTTTGTAGGCCTGTTATTGTTGGTAGAAGGTTGAAAGCTTCACGATTTTACATAACAATAGTAATACATGGTGCATGAACTTGTGTGGAAGTTCAAAGCAATCTACGGTTTATTAGTTTCCCACAATTCCATTCTTGCAAAGGTCTTCTACTGCGGTACAGATAAAAACTCCATTTTAGTTCCTGTCTGCTGAGCACGAAGAGTAGATGGTATACGGTACGTCTGTAAATTGATCGTCGATCGCAATTAGCTTATCAAGATAACCATCATTTAGCTTAACACCATCTACCCACAAGAACCAAGCTACTGACCGTTTTAAATAAAGTTGTAAGTTGAAGTGTATTATTGACTTGATCACCATCATTTCTTGACAAAAATATTTTAGGCATTCTGAGTGTACTGTGTACTCCAGAAACTGTATATATTCACTTTTTCAGGCCTAATTTGAGCCTTTGGATGTGTGTGCCAATATCTATCCGGCCCGAAAAACGACCACACACTTTTTTTGAATAGACCACGCCCCCTTTTCGTTGATAGACAATTTAAAAATAGTCACAAATGCTTCACTTATTCAAATGATCACATACCGTGGGTGGGTATCATTTCTGAAATTGCACATTTATTGATCGGTATCTTTTATTCATTCACATATTATAAGATTTATAAAATTCCAAAATGGCTGAATCACAAATTGAATGTACTGTACACCTTGATTTATTCATATGTAAATTTGCTTAAATATTATGCATATTATGGGCGTGTAGATATGGTTTTAATATCATGTAAAACACTGGTTGCAGAGAGTTGCTTTCTTTTTAACATTGTTTCAAATGCAACATTTGGTCCAAATTTCATTTGACTTTGATCACTCTGCCTTTTTGCAAAACACTAACTACCGGTACTGGTTAATTAAATTATAAGCTTACGTATTGTGGACTCAATTATAATGGGAGTCGGTTAAAAGAACTTGACCAGAAATTTTACTTCAATACTCATTTCAATCAATTGAATTTGAATTCAAATCGGGGGTGACCCCGACGAGAGCAAAGTGGGTATGGTCGGGCCTCGCTTAAAATGATTTATAAAATTCCAAAATGGCTGAATTTGCTTAAATATTATGCATATTATGGGCGTGTAGATATGGTTTTAATATCATGTAAAACACAGGTTGCAGAGAGTTGCTTTCTTTTTAACATTGTTTCAAATGCAACATTTGGTCCAAATTTCATTTGACTTTGATCACTCTGCCTTTTTGCAAAACACTAACTACCGGTACTGGTTAATTAAAGTATAAGCTTACTTATTGTGGACGCAATTATAATGGGAGTCGGTTAAAAGAACATGACCAGAAATTTTACTTCAATACTCATTTCAATCAATTGAATTTGAATTCAAATCGGGGGTGACCCCGACGAGAGCAAAGTGGGTATGGTCGGGCCTCGCTTAAAATGTTTTGAAAGTGATCAAGGGGGCGGGGGAAGGGGAACATATTTTTCCTCCCCGACGAATCGCGGCATTAATCCCCGACGGGGCCCTGGCCCCACTGGCCCCACTCCTGCTTCAAATAAAAACTATGTACTGTTTATATGCAACATAAACAAGAGTCATAGTAAAAGATAAATTAACGCTAGACATTTTCCTAAAGTATTAATATACATGCTACCAAGGTTAGAATAGGTAATAATTCTTGGTGTATATTACTATGGAGGTATGGTATTACTAGCTCAAATTCACAATATGCTGAAATATTTGGTAACTTGGAAAATGATTGAAGTTACGGATATTTAATTTTTAAAAAGAACTTTGAAATAATAGGAAAGCCAATTTGGAAATTGGGAGATATATTATATACCAATGAAAAGAATATCGAGTGTACCTAATCGACATTATATTACTTGGTAAACAATATTTATATGCAATTTCTCGTGTTATAATGTTATTATAAATTATGAAATTATTAAATTTTTTGCAACTCAAAATATTTAAATAGTTAAATTGATGTGTATTTTTGTGCTAGAATATAAATAATAGAAATAGATTGTCTAGCTTGCTGTATATTATTGTAATACTTCCAATGAATCCCATTGTGATTTTGGCACAGATTTCAAGTTTTCAGAGTGCTAGCTATAGACTATGGGATTTCAATATTTTTCATGTCAAATGTGTCGGGTCACAGATTGATTTATTAAAAGTTGTGTGTCTAGCTAAGCCAGGAGGTATCCACAAAGTTATAAAATAAGCCTACTGTACTTGATTGTAAATAATTATATACAACACCTATGCTAGGCCTCTTCAATCTGCTTGTGGTAGGCCTAGCTGCTTGGCGCCACTGTGAAGAGGGAATTTTAATTTTAAATGCCTGTTCAAACGCAACACCATGGGAACAAAAGTTCTTATTTGCTTGTAAACCTAGCCAATCCGGTTCTAAAGATAATGGTGCAGTGCTTATCAAATTGTATTTACCCTTTATTTTTTTGTTTGGGCTAAGTGGCGCATATTGATTGCATAATGTGTTGTGACCTGCAATAACCAAGGTTCGAGTCTTGGTTCCCCCACCCCCGCCCCCAAAAATACTGTCGTCTCCCAAAATCAAGGGACGGTGGACGGTGGGACATTTCTTCTCCCCGACGAATCGCGGCATTAATCCCCGATGGGGGCAGCTCTCCCCAACGGGGGCCTGGCCGCGATTATTTTTTCCGTACGAAACATTTACATGAAACTCCACTCGGGCCGTCTCGACTTTATCGACCCGAAAATCTCATATTGCAGAATTCAGGTCAAAAGGTCATCAACAACTTCTGATCTGCTCTGAGAACGTCGCTGTCTAATTTTTAAAAATACATTGATGTTACCATGCTAATACTGATGGGTCGTTTAAAATGACATAATATTTGATTGAGCTGCACGAGTAAAAAAGTGTTATTTTAACTTGAGTTACATACTGTGGCAATTTTTATTTTTTAGTTAGGTCTGGGTTTTGCATAATTACCTAGGCCTAGCTACAAAAAATATACGCTTTGTGGGGAAAGCACAAAGAGTAAGGAAAATCGCTCTAAAAGCCAACCTGTAGGCCTACCTTATAAGGGGAAATAACAGAAGATATTCCTCCTGGGCTAGTTATTAATTATAGGCCTAGTAAATAGTATGGTTTTTCATTACAAGGCTTAGGTCAAGGTATTTAATGCTGAAATTATTATTATATTATTATTATTATTATTATTATTATTATTATTATTATTATTATTATTATTATTATTATTAATTATTATTATTATTAATTATTATTGTTACTAAAACCAACCTATAGGCCTACCTTAAGGGGAACTTAGACAATTGAGGAATTAGAGAACAATTAAAAAACGACGGCGCCGAAGGGAAATAATACAAAAGATATTCCCCCTGGGCTAGTTATTATTTATAGGCCTAGTAAATAGTATGGTTCTTCATTACAAGGCTTAGGCCAAGGTAATTAATGCTGAAATTATTATTATTATTATTATTATTATTATTATTATTATTATTATTATTATTATTATTATTATTATTTAGTAACATTAATTACATTACACGGATAGTTTGGCCAAGTTCAATAACGCCGCCGAATGGTATATTTTATTTATGTAATAATATTTCTCTTATGCACTCTATTTTTTATTTCATGCTTTAATTTTTTCCATTTTTTTTTTCAAAATTTCAATCAACGTCTGTATGAAAAGCGTGACTTGGTGTCAGCCTAGGACCCTAGGCCTATACTAGGTAGGACTTAACTTAGCCTGCTGAGTTAGCCCCATAGTTTATCCTTTTTCTCTCTAGCCTTTGGTATTACTGTACCTATCAACACTTTATAAAAGTGGGTACTAGCTGTTGTTGTTGTAGATATATACTAACATTAGAAACATCCAAGAAGGTCACAGTTAGTTACACACGTACATCCCATAAATCCGTAGATATCATAGGCCGACCGTAGGTAAACATAGAAAGAACAATACTGTAATAGTAAAACTCGAGCGTCACGACATTGCGAAGTGTCTGCTCTTGTTCCTCGTATCGAACTTAGTCGAGTCAATCCGAGATGGCCCGAGTGAAGTTTCATGCAAATGTTTCGTACGGAAAAAAATATCGCGGCCTGGCCACACTGGCCCCACTCCTGCTTCAAATAAAAACTAAAATAAAGGGAACTTTAGTAGACAACAGTATGAAAGAGCTTAATCAGTACGGTAGGAAAATTTTCCCAGCAACCAACAACTTTTAATCACATTATTTTAGTACTACAGTATGTACTGTTTATGTGTAACATAAACAAGGGTCATGGTAAAAGATAAATTAACGCTAGACATTTTTCTACAGTATTAATATACATGCTACCAAGGTTTAGAATAGGTAATAATTCTTGGTGTGTATTACCAGCTCAAATTCACAATGTGCTGAAATATTTGATAACTTGGAAAATGGTTAAAGTTACGGGTATTTAATTTTTTTTAAAAAAAGGTTTCTGGACAAAATGGCAATAAACCAAAACGGCAACACTTTTTGACCAGAACGGCAATAGGAACGCAATAGAAACGGCAATAAGTCAAAACGGCAAGACCAAAACGATGCTAAACAATTTGTCATAAAAGTATAAATATAAACTAATTCAATTCAATTCCAAGTTTATTGTCTTCATAAAAATAAAGAAGAAAACATATAGTGTAGGCCTACTACGATTAAATAAGGTAAATAACAGCAGCAGCAGCAATCCCCCAAAATAAAAACGCGCTGAAGTAGTTAAAAAGTCACTCAAATTTTGCGAGCTAACCCCGTTACCTAATCATCGGGATTCCCAGTTTGCCCCTCCCCCCTCCAATCAGTTGGTATTAGGCCAGGTACTGAAACCAGCAAATACTCTAGTAGAGATATCTTACCTGCTTTCCTTTTCAAAAATAATTTCAGACGACTGTTTGATAAGGCAAGAATTTTATACCTTATTTAGCGAACCCTTCGGCCGCCAATAATAAAATTGGCCAAAAATAATAACTGGCCTAAAATAAAATTTTATTTTTGGCCAGTTTCCGCACCCTCTACGAATTTTCAGAAAACACTTTTGTTTTGTTATGGTCTGCGCTCCCCTAAAATTTACAAAAAATATCTTATTTCTACACTGTTTACATTCATCAATAAATTCTTAATTTTTATTTTATTTATCTTTCAGTCAATCATGCACCGTCTTCAAAAAAAAAAATTCAGCTCTGGTAAACCCAAAGATGGTACGTTCTTGGGAGACGTTGAAGAGAGCATGGCAGCTGTACAAGGGAAACTTGATCGACTGAAAAACATGGAGCTGTTTGTCCTGGACAACTCTATGCGTGAGACGACTGTAGCTTCTCTTAGGGCACACACTATTGAGAACAAGCGAGCTATCTACGAGGAAATCAAGAAGTGTGGGTTCAAGTACTTCATAGTGGAGTCATTCAACAACCAGACAAGGATTGGGGATCTGTTCTTGGAAGAACTGATTGCAAAGGGTGAAGATCTGTCCAATGCCTTCGCATTCTCAGAGCTGTGGGAGAAGATTGTTGACAAAGTACCTCAACCAGACATTCCTGTTGGACTTAAAAAGTGTAAACAGTTTGGTATAAAGAATGTCTTCCTTGAGTTCGATCTGATGTATTACAAGATTGATTATGAAAAGATGAACATGGACGAGGTGTGCAAGTATTTGAAGGATAAGATTGACTGGATTCGAGCTAATCTCTCCGAGAATTCTCTGGTCCTGATCAACTTCAGGGATTTCTCCACAACAATGATACAATACCCTGAACGTGTCAGACATATTGTTAATTACCTCGCCAGTCTGCCCAAGAAAGAAAGGATCCTGGGTGTAGCATTTGAAGATCTTGGGGCTGTTCTTCCAGAGCAGCTAGGAGCATGGACACATGCTGTCAAGAATGAGATGGAGAGATGTGGATGGACGGAGGGACAGCTATTGTTCCATCAACATGAGCAGTGGGGTGTAATGCATGCATCTAATCTGGAGGTGCTTGCTTCCGGAGCTACTGGGATGTGGGCAGGCTTGTGTATTGAAGGTGCTGCACTTGGACACGCTGATACCTGCACTGCCATTCTAAATCTCATCAGACTTGGAAACCAGGCTGTACAGAAACAGTACAACTGCAAAAACCTGAGAAATGCAGCCATCAATGTCACCAGAGCAGTCACTGGTGGTGTCAAACCAAATCCTAAGCAACCAATTTATGGTGATAGAGCAATTGATATGGTGTTCGGCTTTATATTTTCGGATCCCACTGCACATGGTGGATTTGACATGGCAGAATTCCTGGGGGTCAAGCGTGAAGTTCGGATCTCAAACATGGCAAATGCTGACATGATTCTTATAAAACTAAAGGATGTGTTCGGAGAAGACCCACAGTTCACTCTGGAGCTTGCTGGAAAGATGAAGGAACAAATGCTGAAAAATGCATCAGAAGGCAGAAAGGAAGAATACAACAGCAAGATAGGACTAGCCATGTTATTCGACCAAGCTGGTGGGAACATGACAAAAGAAATGGCGGATGTTATTGCCGACGCCAATAAGACGTTGCCATTCATCAACACTTTGATAGATGAGATTAAAGCAGAGTGGGATGAGTGGGATGGCAGAGGCGGCGAGGTGGACAACCAGCTCACATTCGATCACTTCTACACCGGTTTTATGTCTCCTTACTTTGGCTGCTACCGATGCGAGGACAGTCAGCAAGGCTTGAGAGCGCTCGACATGGATGCTGATGGTATGATTGACTGGTTTGAGTTTAGACATTTCTTGCTTTGGGCTGGTAGACAGCATCCCAATGTTAAGACTAGTCAGGAACTGCTTGATATTGCGTTTAGAGATGGCCTCATCCCTGCTATGAAAGACGAAATGGATAAAAATAAATAAGGCATTGAGGACAAATAATAAGGTTGATTTTAACAGCCTTCAAATACTTATGATTAATAAATAATAAAGTAATTTTTTATAAGAATTTAACAGGTTTTTACTAATTTGCCTTTAGTTTAATTTTGTTGTGCCCTAAAAACTTTTAATTTAAATTAATAGTAATAGTAATAGTAATTACAGATACACAAGAATTTAATAAATTATTTACGAATCGCCATGTTTTCTGCAGTATAGTTCTTGACGATAAATAATAATGAATGTAATACCAGAATTTAACACAGATTTTTGACTAATTGCCATGTCTTTGCATTCCAATACAATATTAATTTATGTGAAAAGGATATTGTATTGTGTATATAGGATATGTAATAGGAAAATTAAACAATAATCATCAAACTTGTTATGAACCCTATATGCTATTATAGAATTAAAACGGTATTAATATGCATGCCAATAAATTATATAAGGGATTCTTTCGGTTTCTGTAATATTGAGTTGCATGATTTGCGTACTAATTATTTAGACTTGGTTTCAGGATTGTTAAAAAGTTTCACTATACATTACTGATATTTCATTGTATACAAATGTTGTTCTATTCATTTACACTGAAGCTGAAGATGGAAATTTTGTTCCTGAAGCTTTTCTTAATGAATAAATTCTATTATGCTAACCATAAAATGCCTAAATATTTTTAATTGTAGCATCATTCTTGAATGAAAAAAAAGTGATGCCCAAGCACCGATTTTTTTAAAATTTGTAACTAACTTCAAGCAACCTTATTCAACCTATATTTTCGCGCAGTACCACACGATGCAGCGTAGAGTTAATGCACTTGCAATATGGGCCGATACCTTTTCTTCACGAATGATATGGAGTATTTAGGGAATTCTTATAGCCTCTTGAATAGTAATACAACGGCGAAAATCGGACATGATGAACCTTTTGTACTTGTGTCGGCTGAGCTTGGGCATTTGGTAGGGAACGGTACGGTATTGCAGTAATTCATTGGTGACTGGTGGTAGTTGCAGGAATTTAGTACTCCCTGATTTTTGTAACTCTGCCGCCTCATTCATTTTTAAACAGTGGCGTATCTAGTGGAGGGCGCGGGGGAGCGAGTACATTATTAGACTCTGCAATCGAATAAATAAGCCTTTGAAACCCCTAAATTGTCCAAATTTCCGGGTGCTTGGCCCCTGGCTACTTCTGAAACATTTTATGTGATGTTCGACCAGCCCAAGTTGCTCTCATCGGGGAAATCTTCCTCCTCGTCCGAGGCATCGGCCCCGTCGGGGACCCGACCCCCTTGTGGAAAATCCTGGCGCCACCCCTGACAAGATGGACATAAAATATATAATACGGATTTTAAGGAGAAAACTGAAAGGAACATCAAAAACGTGTAAAGACCGCAACACCCTACAATTAACATAGAGACCGAACAGATGAACAGAATTAGAACTGTAGTGTGAATTAATATATTTATACAAAATAACATACAAAAATATCTATCAGTGGGCGGCAAAGAGACCAAAGGAGAACCCGAAACAGTTGAAGAATATGATGAACTTAAAATAAATTTGTCAATACTATTCAAACTGAGAAATAGAAGCAGAACTAAAAAACAATGCAACAAAGTGCGAGGTACGGTACCGTAACTAAGGTAGTACGATACAGTGTAATGGTAGCTTTTGAACTAACACAATTTCTCCAAGTACAGTACATGCTTCCAGTCAGAATAAATACTGTCAATAACCACGCGTTAACTACTTGTATTTAAAAGAAGTTGTTGATGAAATAGACGGTCAAATGCTTTGAAATATCATTAAAAATTAATATAATATAATATAATCTATATGAATGAAGGACTGATGGAGCTGGAAGTAATACGTTCAAATATTTTTTGGAAATGGAAGGGAGCAAAGAGACAGGCCTATAGTTTTACAATTTTATTACACCAGCTTTGTGAATTGGACAGACATTCACTTTCTTCTATTGCTCTGACGTACAGTACCTTCAAATATCGATTGATCAAATATTTTTTTAACAGACGATCTATGGTCTACTGATTTGTTTTTTTTTTTTTTTCAATACTTTTGTCGTCTTCGCGGGCAAAAGGTCAAAATTGTCTCTCAAGTGCTTTCGAATACGTTGAAACACACAGTACTTACTTTTAGCTCTTTCTTCGGGATAAAGTAGTAGACATATTTTGTGAGATTCATCATCATCATCGCCGTATCGCCGAAAAGTCCGATGACAGTTTCGCTTCGGCCGCTTTACTTAATTCCTCGATGAGCCCTTTCCAAATATGTCTTTTGTGTGAGATTACGATAACTAAATACAACGAAAATGGCCCATGAACGTTTTAGAAAGACAATCGACTGTGACAATCGGGATAAACTAAATAATTTACAATGTTTATAATCCAGTTGTTTCTACAATGATAATAAAAATATTATGATGAAGTTTAAAACTGTTGTGTTCTTTATAAAATGTATATGTGTTCTGCTACTACATCGAATACCGTGTTTGTAAAAAATAGTTATAATGATTAAAATAATATCAATATGAATAATAATAATAATGTAACTTTATTTTTTCTGTTATTATTATCATCATCATCATCATCATGAAATGTTGGTGAGTTGTAAAAAGAATAAGTCAGAATTTGATCCTCTGTTTATTAAGGACAAAACCATTGAAAAGTAAAGTCAGCCAAATTACTTGGATTTTATATTTCTTCTGATTGATCTTGGCAAAACCAAGTTGATGGAATGATAAACAAAGGAAACACCCGGCTTTTTTTTCTTAAGCGACTGTGTAAATCTGGTCTCTGTGTTGCATGACAAATCCATTATTATTTAAGTGTTATACGCCCGGCTCCTCTTGAATATGCCGTCCCTCTGTAGGGTATGTATCACAAAATGAGCAATCTAATCAACTCGAACGCATTCAAAGACGTGCTTTTGGGGGTTCAAAGACGTGCTTTGGGGGTTATCTTCCCGGGGGCCGATTATGACTGGGTCCGAGCTGCTGCTGGGATCCCTTTGATGTCAGAGCGGCGTACACATTATGCAAACAATACTTTACTAAACTAAAATCACGCACCCACAGACTTCACCACCTCTTACCCAAAATTCATAATACTCCATATAACCTCAGACGTGACAATAAGTTATCCTTGCCCAAAGTTAACACCCAGCGAACAATGAATTTTATTACTTTCACTGGTGTGTTTAAATAATGGTGAACCTGTAATTCCTGTACGCCACTCTGACATCAAATTTGCATCCATTTTTATATTTGTTTCATGGTAGTGTTGTTATTATAATGATAATATTTATAAAAATACCAACAACAACAATAATAATAATAATAATAATAATAATTAATAATAAAAATAATAATGGTAATTATAATAATAACAATAATATAATTTTGTTCGTGTCCTTATTGTTGATATGACGAGTTTCTGTATTGTTTTTTTATTCGAGGTTTTTCCCAAATTGTTAATATAATATTTATATTTATATATATAATATATATTTCTCTATTTGTTAAACTTCAATTTGTATTTTATCTTTTGTAATTTGCAGATTGTTATTAAAGAGTGTTTGTATAGATGTGTATAAGAGACAGCTCACGACCTATCGCAAAATCAACATGAAAAATTCATCCGCATTTATTTTTTGTGTGGAACACAAAAAATCAAATTTCAGTCTTCCAAGTTGATGGAATGATAAACAAAGGAAACACCCGGCTTTTTTTTCTTAAGCGACTGTGTAAATCTGGTCTCTGTGTTGCATGACAAATCCATTATTATTTAAGTGTTATACGCCCGGCTTCTCTTGAATATGCCGTCCATCTGTGGGGTATGTATCACAAAATGAGCAATCTAATCAACTCGAACGCATTCAAAGACGTGCTTTGGGGGTTATCTTCCCGGTGGCCGATTATGACTGGGTCTGAGCTGCTGCTGGGATCCCTTTGATGTCAGAGCGGCGTACACATTATGCAAACAATACTTTACTAAACTAAAATCACGCACCCACAGACTTCACCACCTCTTACCCAAAATTCATAATACTCCATATAACCTCAGACGTGACAATAAGTTATCCTTGCCCAAAGTTAACACCCAGCGAACAATGAATTTTATTACTTTCACTGGTGTGTTCAAATAATGGTGAACCTGTAATTCCTGTACGCCACTCTGACATCAAATTTGCATCCATTTTTATATTTGTTTCATGGTAGTGTTGTTATTATAATGATAATATTTATAAAAATACCAACAACAACAATAATAATAATAATAATAATAATAATTAATAATAAAAATAATAATGGTAATTATAATAATAACAATAATATAATTTTGTTCGTGTCCTTATTGTTGATATGACGAGTTTCTGTATTGTTTTTTTTTCGAGGTTTTTCCCAAATTGTTAATATAATATTTATATTTATATATATAATATATATTTCTCTATTTGTTAAACTTCAATTTGTATTTTATCTTTTGTAATTTGCAGATTGTTATTAAAGAGTGTTTGTATTTGTATTTGCATTATCATCATCAGTTTCTGAACATGAAAAGGTACCATACACTTTTTATATAAGAACACATTATAGAAACACTGAGGCTGAAATTGAGGCTGGATCTCAATAGAGATTCTTAAATAATATATAAGTTTGAAAGGCAAAT